TTTTTTTTTTTTTTCCTGGGGCTGGGGGCGGGGGGCTGTCATGGGGGAACTGCCCTTTAAATTTTAAGTGACACTACAGAAAACACAAAAAGGTGATGGGTTGTGTTGTGCTTCGTATTGAATGCTGTCCTGACATCTCTTCCCTTGTCCTCCAGTATGTTCTAAAGCTGTGTCTGAGATCTGGATCTGCCCATCACTTTAGCTAGTGACGGGACTAATTAATTTGCTTTGTACATTTTCTTTTACTTTGCTTTTTTTCCTTTCTCTGGAGGCATCACATGCTGGTGCTGTGTCTTTATGAATGTTTTAACCATTTTCATGGTGGAAGAATTTTATATTTATGCAGTTGTACAATTTTATTTTTTCTGCAAGAAAAGTGTAATGTATGAAATAAACCAAAGTCACTTGTTTGAAAATAAATCTTTATTTTGAACTTTATAAGAAGCAATGCAGTACCCCATAGACTGGTGTTAAATGTTGTCTACAGTGCAAAATCCATGTTCTAACATATGTAATAATTGCCAGGAGTACAGTGCTCTTGTTGATCTTGTATTCAGTCAGGTTAAAACAATGGACAATAAAAGAATGAACACATTCCTCATGTGCGTGATTCACTCTCGTCTTGCCCCAACCTGTGACTTCTTTGCTTCTATACTGCTAATTATCCAAGATCTTGAAGAAATACTGAACCTGAAAGACACACACATGATTTTATTAGTCCATATGGGAGTTTGGCCTTTTCCACCTAACAGCGTCCAAGAGATGACCGAGTTAATCAGGCAGAGAATCAAAGAAGCTTTAATTTAAAGTTCGATTTTAGAAATATTTTGCAGTGCTACTTCACCCAATTTAGAACACATAAAATTTTGGTTCCTAGTAGTTCTGCACTAGGTATGTCTGTTTTAAAAAAATAAAGTTGGACTTATTAGCAGTTCGGTTAAAAAAATTGGCCTCATGTATGAAAGACGACAAAAATCAGGTTTCTGAAAAACATTTTCCCGGTTTCATTGAGCTGCAGATTTGGTATTGCTTAACCAGTGTGGGAAACACCCAGACTACAGTCACGGCATCGTATTTCTGAATCGGAAACCCTCCACACAGCCCGTGCGGCCGCAGCGCGAGCCAATCCCTGCAGCTCCGCCGTGTGTCCAGGCCTGCTCCCCTCCTTGGGGCAGACCCAGGGCCGTCCCGCGAGAGCACAGCTGACTCAAATACCGTAACAGCTTCCATTCTCACCTGCTGCTCCACATCCATAATCCTGCCGATTTGTTTCTGTTTCTTCTTTAAAAATAGTACCCGAGACTCTGCCATCTCTAGAGCAACAAACTGTGTCATGACCAATGAATACCAGAGGAACAATGATTCCATTTAACAAAAAATAGCAAAGGGAACTGCAGAAAATGGCACAACTGCTTAACTTTAAAGTTTTCAGGAGCCCTTGTCAACTGTTGAAGAAAAAGAGCAAAATCCTTAAACTAACAACATACCTACGTGAAACTGTTTCTCAAAAAGTGACGCACATTTATGGAAACAGAAGTTATATGATAGAACATGGTTTGTCTTGCTGAAACGCAGGTTGGTTTTGTAGTATGTATATGAGTCTTCAATCTGTGATGTTTGTGAGCAAGAAGGGGAATGGGGTTAGGTCTGAGGAAAGCGGAGCATTTATTCAAATTGGAGGGTGGTTTGCATTTTTGAGGCTGTTCTAAGATCCTGACCTTGGTGAGACAAACCTAACCTACCGTTCCGAGCCATTGTGTGTGTCTGCCTATCACTTTCGCCAAGATTCTCTTCAAATCTTGCTGCTTTTAACCTCCAGATTGTGCCAACCTGTTTCCCGCCCACGATCCTCAGGGGTATGTCACCACTAGGAGACTGGAGAATGTGGTTTGTATTCTTCGACTCACTCGATACTATGGGCCAAGCACTCTTCTAAGAGCTAGGGACAGACAGACGAGCCAGTTGACAAAACAGACAAAACTCCATCTTCTTTCCTCTGCAGCTCACGTTCTAGTGTTAAGTACTTGCATGTTTCTGACATTTTTGCTTCTATACATTCATCATGTCTTTCTTTGTATTATCAGCTTATTCTGACCCTTCGTAGATGACACATTTCTTGGGCGTAGGGACAGTGCTGTTTACCCTCCTTGGGGTGTTCTTACTTCTAAGAAAGGGGTTTTCACACAGGTCCAGTCAATCAAATACTCATTGCTCACACAGAATCGAAAGGGATTTTTTCAAAGGCAGTGTTTCTCAAAGGTGGGCTGAGTACTGCTTGGAATCAAAAGCATTGAAATAGTTACTGAAGAGAGAAAAGGATTCTCTTTTCAATCCATCATATTCCCTGAGGGGAGTTGCAATGTGTTAGTATGTCTTCAACTCAGGTTAATCTCTCTTTCCAATAAAGGGAGACAGGCCTTGGGCTCAGAACCTGTGGCAAACAATATTATCTAGTTAGAATTTAATAAATTTTATTTTCATTGTATTTATTTCATTACCTTTGATTAAGGACAAGTAATTGAAATAGTTTAAAACAAGTTGTTTTCCATTTACAGCGGTCAAACATTCAAGTATAGCAGTGAATGGATTTAAAGAAAAATAATAAATAAAATTTCAGGTTGTACTTAAAAACGATAATCATGAAAGGGATAAATGGCCGACTAAAATTTAGGGCTCTTTGTTTGAAAGAACGGCATTAACAGAAGCCAAGGTTTTCGGTTTTATACCTGTCTGGGCAAAATCTAATTTGAACCCAATCTATGTTAGAACAATAGTATGCCCTGTCTGCTCAAGCTGCACCTATTACCAGAGGGAACACCTCCAACTCCAAATTAAAAACATTTTCAGTGATCAGAGACGAAAGTCAGTTATCAAAATCTTTCAAAGCTCAATTATAGCTCAAATTCCTGGCTTCTTAAAGGATTAGTAACACTCTGATATCTGTGCATATTTGGCACACAGAGGACAGGTTACAAATGAGGTTACCTTGCAAATCTAGGACTGAGGACATTATGAACAGAGAGGGAAACCATCCAAAAACATTCAAAGAACAGTTTTAATTGAGTAACATGATCTTGGTTTCAAATTCAATAGAGAAAATGTGACTCTCTCCTTTCTTCTTTAAGAGGGAGCTAGCATTAACCAGATGTGTTATCTGTAGCCCTCTGGGCTCTACACTGGGATAGATGACCAGGAAACAGAGAGATAAGCCTGTTATTCTCCCAACCAGTGGTTCCGATTAGCACACATATCCTACCCATGTGAAACAAAGAGGATTGGATCAAGGCAAGTATCTCGGTTCATGCTTTAACTACGAGGGACTTTAGCATTAGTCTGTTCTGAGAGATTAAGAATCTTACTAAGGTATTGACTCTTACTGACTACAGAATCCAGCTATTTAGCCACAAATGAACCCCATGCCCTAAGAAAATGCCCATATTATAATAAAACTGTAACATGCTATCTCTAGCTACGTTTACCACAAAGCCTTTAAAAAACTTGGATTTCATAAAATCAGAAATCTTAAAAGTAGCTTATAAGGGGTTATCTTTTCCAAGGAAACACATATACACACACCTTCCCCTCCAGTATTGGCCCTATACTGACCAGGTAGGAGGTGGCAAAGGGTGATTTGAAACCCACCTATTCAGCCAGCCACAGTGCCTGATGTGGTCATTATGGGGTCTGTCTTTTGGTTTAAGTGCTGCAGGAATCAAATATTCCATTCCTGTGAATGAAACATCTCATTACCTGTAAGAGGTGGCCCTTTAATGCCTATAACTTATTATAGAAATTCGCGGTTATTAAATTAGCAAGTAATGGAGGAGCACAGAATGGTCCTGCAGGAATGGGATATAGGACCCATCCCTTTTGATAAGGGGCAGGCATTCTAAAATGACCAGTGGGGGAGGATCAGGCCCTGGGGAGGTTCTAATGATTCCGCATTGGCGTGTCTGGGCATCAAGGGAATAGTACTTAAGGCTAACAGGCATTCTGGGGTTGTACTTCAGAAAATGAAACATGGCAGAAGTCCATGCCTAACAAAACCTTTGCCTAGAGCTGGCATTTCTTCTTTTCTTTAATTTGCAAATTTCTTCTGAGCCTCCTACTGTGTACCCAGCACTGGTAAGAATTGAGGAGGGAGTGTCCAGACGCACAAGGGCCTCATGAAATTTTTGCTTTTGCTAAATGTCTTAAATGGTCTAAACTGCTCTCATCTATACCAATTCCTTTCTCCTATTTCTTCTGCCAATCATTCATTTAACTAACATCTTGAACACATCCCATCCATGATCATTTAAAGATGGGAGAGACTTGGTTCTTAAAGCTCATAGCCTGGAAAGAAGAAAACCCATGTAATCAAATAAAATCACTATAGTGTGCTAAAATCGAAGTGGAAATAATTAACTACTAGTGGGGACACAAAATATTTCATAAGGGGGTTAACATTTAACTTGAGGTCTGAGGATGAGCGAGATTTGACATAGATGAAAGAACAGCAAATTTTAGCTTAATGTACAATTGATAGGCCAATGGGCAATTATAAGATTAACTGGAAGGCTTGTTCTTTCGCTATCACTATTAGATTTAAATAAGAAGAATGACTTACATTTATTTACTACTTTATAGTATACCGTCTAATTTCATACATCAGTCTCATCTTCTCAACAGCTCTGTGAAGCTGGTCGCCTCATCTCTGGGTACAGATGAGATCCTGGGACTCAGAGGTCCCATGACTTCCCCTATAATGAGATGGGGACCTTGCTAAGTTGGTAGGGCTGGGAACTGAACCTGTATCTTCCCACTCAAAGCCACACTGGCTCTGTAATCTCCCAAGGAGTAGTCTCTACATTTGCTGATGACTATCCAAATCATCACGAATTCTAGAACAGTGAAATGTTTAAAGTCTAAATTTCTGTAATAGCTTCAAGTATAGACTCAAAAGATTCCAGAGAATCTCTCATCCTTGCCCTGAGTAGCAAATATAGGCCTGGAGGTTCTACCAGTGATTCTGCTCCTGCCACCGCTCTCGCAAAGGCAGTTCTGGTATATGGAGCTGGCAGGAAATTTCTTTGCACACTTTACTAACTATGGTTTCAGAGTCTGCAGTGGAACTTCACTCTCCTGATACTCGGGCTCCACCACAAACGACAGCATTAGACACTTTACAGATGGAGTGTAGGCATCTATTTTCCAATGGTTCTTAATGTTGGTTGAGTATCAGAAATACCTGTGGAGTTATATTTTGTTTTTAAATAAAAATACAGATGTGCCTGAACACTTAAAGAATCTCTCTCTCCCACTGTTGTGGAGTTCCAGCACCAAATTACAGTATGTGCTAATAATAGCCTGTGCTGTTATGCTGGATAGATTTTCAGATAAAAGCTAGTCAATCTGAATTTGACTGAAGTACAGTTTTGTTAGAGTTCCAATAATATGACACTGAGTTTTAAAAATATCAGTGTATTCAGTACAGAATAAACTTTCAACTCACTTGGGCTCTTAGAGTCAGGGCTGACTTCATGAGCCTGCAGCCTGTGCACAGGGCCACACTCTTAGAAAAGCCCTTGCTTGGTTTAATGCTCTGCTGTCGCTGTCTTGAAATTCTTAATTTTGAACGAAGGCCCTGACATTTTCATTCTGTACCAGCTGTGCTTATAGCCAAGGCCTCTATGCTAGAGCTACTTCAG